CTTTTCTATATATAACAATGTTAAAAGGTTTACATTGTAAGAAATATTTCTTACCACCTATCTTTTAAAAAAGTATTTCATCCCCTGTTTCGAAAAATCCAGTTCTTTTTATAATTGCAATGCAGCAAATCTCCACACCGAATTTCTTTAAACCTTCTTATTTTAAAATTAGAAAACTTTTTTTTCTTTTCAAAAGTTTTTGAAAGTACTCTTCGAGAGTTCTAAGTTAATCATAAAAGATGATTCGATCCCAAACTGAGGAAGGTAGAAGGGGGAAAAAGTGAAGAAGAAAAAACTGAAACTGAAAAAATTATATTGAGGACGATTTTCAAAAGTAAGAGAATCCAGAAGTCAATCGAAACCCTCTTATCTTGGGTAACATTTTTTACAAACTTTTCAACTTTTTTAGTTGAAAAATGAGGTGTTGTGAGTAATGTGCCCGTCGACTCACTCGCTATTCTTGAACTCATCAATAAAGGATATATTGAGAAAAAGAAAATTCACTTCATCGTTCGTAAATAAAAAGAAAAAAAATATTAATGGCATACTCACATAAAGTAACCAAAAAAAAAATACTGCTCAGCCCCGCAAGTGATAACGGCTGATGATAAAATGATGAAAGATGATAGTGATGAAAGGTTAGTCATCTTCATTTTTCTTTTGAAAAAGAAAACATTTGCGAAAATAATATTTCAACAAGAAATTGTCCTCTTAAATCTTAGTACCCTATAAGCTTAGATTTTTACTAGAACAACAAATGAAGAGATAATGGGTTTTCGCCGTTAATCGGAACTTCCTGAAGCACTTTTGTTTTAGGTAAGACAAATTTAAAAATAGTGTTTAGAAAGTGCCAATTTCAAAATACTTCTTTGCTTTTGTCAATAAATCAATTTTATTCCATAACTGGTTAACACATTCGCTTTTGTGTAGCATTGTTAAAAGTCACAGCGATAAATTACTTCTATTTAAATAAATATTAAAACAACAATTAAAATAAAAATATCTTAGACAACTCATTTCCAGATAATAGAAACTCTTTCTCTACTTATATTTTTTAAGAGAAAGTGAAAGATTTTAGTATTTTTTTTAAAGAATTAAGAACGCGTAGCTTTTTTGCTTAAATCGACAAATCAATTTTATTTCTTAATTCGTTAATACATTTGTTTTTGTGTATCACTGTGAAAAGTCACAGTGATAAATTATTTGTGTTTTATTAAATATTAAATAACCATTAAGAATAAAAATACCTTAGGCAACTTATATCCCGAGGATTGAAACTCTGTCTACATTTGTCTTTTTAGAGAAAGTTAAAGGCATTAATTTTTTTTTTTAAAAGATAGCCATTTAAAAACACAAATCTTTTTTGTATCAGTCAACAAATTAGTTTTATTTCATAACTAGATATACATTTTTGTGTAGCTCACTGCGAAAAGACACAGTGATAAATTATTTGTATTTAAATAAATATTTAATAGCCTTTAAAAATGAAGTTTTTTAGGCAACTCATATCCTGAACTTTTTATCTATTTTTATTTTTTAAGAGAAAGCTGAAAATTTTAATATTTTTTTTCAAAAAAATAAATAGGCATTTAAGAACACGTGACTATTTTGCTTAAATCAACAAATCAATTTTATTTCATAGCTACTAGCTAATACATTTGGTTTTGTGTAGCACTGTGAAAAGTCACAGTGATAATTTATTTGTATTTAAACAAATATTAAATAGACATTAAGAATAAAATAGAGTTACTGTCATGTACCTACGTTGTTGAGTTACGACGTGCTGTTAACTTATTCTGAATGATTGGAGAGTCAAAATTTACTGAAAAAAATTTTTCCGCGTAGACTTAACATGTAGTCACCGATAAGTTATTTTTATCAGGCAGAATCTCATAATTTCAGGTACTTATTCTTTTTCGTTGCTTGTAAAATTACTCTTAAAGGTCCGGTTTCTTAGGACAAGCGCCTTATCTGGGCGTCAGCGGAACGTCAACGTCCCGCAGACGCCAACAAAATACTGGTTTGTTAGCTCGATGCCTGGTTTCTTAGAACTAGCGCCTTATTTGGGCGTCAGCGGAAAGTTGACGTAGAGCTGGCGCCAAAAAAATACTTTTTTGTTAGCTCAGCGTGAGCAGTCGGTCCAACGCAGACATTATCTCTCATTGCGCATGCGTTAATACCGTAAGCAAATAGTTATTTTGAATATGTATTGATTTTGTTTTTGTCGGCCAGTGTTTTAGTGAACAAATAATGACTTTGTTCAAGAAAAAACACATTATAGCTGAGTTAAATGAAGAGTGCTATGTTTAATGAAGAAGCTATGTTTAATGTCAAAATCAAAATCTTGGCTGATTTCAATGTGCTGTTGGATGTTGTCCGAAATTGCTTCTGTGGTTAACGTTACGTTGTAATCCAACTGCAGTTGAGTTGGACGGCAATTGTAGTTCAAGATGAGCGTTCGATGACGTATACTATCAAACTCACAAATGGATCAATCATAGGTTAGTGCTGATTTCTAGCTGACGGCGTCCTGTCCTAAGAAACCAGGCCTTAACTGTTTAAAGTATCTACTAATGCTTATTAACCATCGTTGAACAGCAGAGCCGATTTTGAGTTTACGACTACTAATGCTCAACTCCGTAGCCTTGAAATTTTGAACTCAATCCAGAAGACAAGGGAACTCCTGGTTTAAGTATTAGGAGAAATGTGCCTTCGTGGAAGACTTTTTTGATGGAGCTAACCCGCATATGCGTTACGTGGAGAGGGAGACCACGAATACCTCCTACGGTTAGTCTCACGGCAAGGGGACTCTAACCCACGATCCATCTACCACTGAGGATATTTCACGTCAGCATCGTGGTTGGTGCAAACTGGATGCGGAATTCGTATCGATCTGCAATCGCCGGGATTATAACCCGGTACACCTCATTGGAAAGTGAATGCTCTATCCCCTGAGCCATCACAGCTCACAAACGTAATGTAACAAATTTAATGTTTTCTCTTATTTTTTAATCAGATTTTAGAAATTATGATAGCTCTACTTGTCACTTTTGTCACATTATTTATGTTATTATCTGCCGAATAAATTGCTAATTGTTTTATAAAAATTTAGTTTTCTTCCTAAAAAATGTTTTCTGGTAGAAAATTTTGCACACAAACTGAAACAAAATTATATTTTTATGTTTAAAGACCTTCTTCTGTACACGAACAATTTTTCGTACTTTGGCGCCGCTTATTGTCTCTTGGAAAGGGAAAGAAAATCAAAATTAACTTAATATTGATTCCATGGCAACAAGTTAAATTCTGAAATAGCTGCTGTTAACTAATTTTCCAATTATAGTTAATTATGCCGAGTATAGTTAATTTGATTTTCTTTATCAGATGTAAGTAACGTTGATTTAAGTACAGATAATCACAATAATAAACTAATAAACTATTTGTTTTTAAATAAAGATTAAATAGCCATTAAGAGTGGAATATTTTTAAAAATAATCAATGTAATCACATACCGACTACCGAAATTCTTTGAACTGTTTTATTTGTGTTAAAGAAAATATTTTGTAAGTACTATTATTATTTGGAAAATAGCAACTTGAGAACAGAAATGCTCATTTTTTTAATTTTAATTTAATTCTGTTTAAAAAAAATGCTGCTTTACCTGATGGTGAATAACGGTAGTCATAAACTTAAGAAATTAGCATTTTAATGAACATTAAGTAACATTTGAAAAATTTGTCCTTTCCACAATAATTAATGTAAACTTCTCTTAACTATTAAAACCCTAAATTTTTATCTACTTAATATTTTTAAACAAGATTTATAAAACTTGATTAAAATATTTATAAATAGGTTATTTTATTTTAAACTTGAGAGCATTATAAAATTGAAATAATTTTTTTTATAATATAGCTACATTAAAAAAAATAGTAATTCGAGAACACAAGGCTTATTTTTAGTTAGAGTTCATTTTGCTGTATTGTTAACCGTAAGCTTTATCAGACCTGAAAGTTAAAACATAAATCAAGAATACTCAATTGAAGAATGTTACGTTTTACGTAAATTAATACAATAAGATTCACGAGAACAAAATTATACAAAAAATGGTAGTCTTAATGAAAGATTGATATTTTGTGTAGTTAATGATAAACACCCATGTCAAGCACTTTTTACATTCCAAATAATCAGAAGATTATACAAATTAGGGAACATGAAAAGGATTAAGAATTGCGTAGGGAACCCTAATTAGAAATGAATTGTACGCCACTAGGGGTTCAACTCTGTTTTAAACTTTTTCTACGTGTTCCTTTGAACAGATATTTTTATTCATCTATATTATCTTAATTGTATTGTTATATTAGTTATTATTGGTTATAGGTTCTGAACTGTCTTATGGTAATTTAATGATTTGTCGAGCTTCTCCATTTCGTCGCCAAATCCTTAAACTACGATTAAACAACTAATACTGAACCAATTTAAATGCAATTTTTTAACAATAAGTTTTATTTAAATTAAGAGAATATAAATGAATAAAAGTATCTGTTCAAAGGTACACGTAGAAACCGTTCATAAAAAGGTAGACTCTAGCTGCTTACGATGCCATTTCCAGTCATGGGTTCCTAATGTTTTTGATGAGCCCTACCTCCTATCAAAATTTTGTCCTTGATTTTAGAACCTCCCTGTATTTTTCTGCATTTTTTAAACCCGCTTCGTTAATTCACTTATGTGCGGTAGCTGCTGAAAAAAACAGGAAAAAATTATTTCAAATTATGTTGTGAAAGGAAATTTTCCAAATGTTTCAGAAACGTTAATACGAGATTGAAATCATGATTGCTCTAATGAAGGTCATCTTGATGTTTTATCAGGGAAAAATATTTTTTCATTGCATTTTATATCCTTTTTGTGGAGTTAAAATACTTCAGAATGCTTTTCTGCCGGAAAACCAAAAACAAAACGTAGAAAAACATTTAGAGAAAATGCTGAAGTCTTATAATTTTATTGCTTTAGTCGAAATCGGCAGACAATTTTTCATAAATTTCCTTGTAGCTAAGTTTCTTGAGCCTTGTTAACTTAAACAAAAATCTTCTGTAATCTTGTTTATTGAGAGCAATTTTTACTCTGAAAAAGAAAATTATTTTATTAGTTATATATTTAACTATAATGCTATAAAAGAGCAACAATAGATACAACAAAATGAAGAGTTTGTCAGTCTGTCTCTCTGCAAAATTGTTTTTTCTATGATTATGTATATTTAACTATAATGCTATAAAAGAGCAACAATAGATACAACAAAATGAAGAGTTTGTTTGTCTGTCTCTCTGCACAATTGTTTTTTCTATGATTATGTATATTTAACTATAAAGCTATAAAAGAGCAACAATAGATACAACAAAATGAAGAGTTTGTCTGTCTCTCTGCAAAATTGTTTTTTCTATGATTATGTATATTTAACTATAATGCTATAAAAGAGCAACAATAGATACAACAAAATGAAGAGTTTGTCTGTCTGTCTCTCTGCAAAATTTTTTTTCTATGATTCCGAAATTAGGACAGTGGCTGCAAGGGACAAATTTAGCCCCCAAACATAAAAGTTAGTTCAAATTTTTCTGTTAGTTCATTCGTTAGAGCCAATGGAATTTTTTCGTTTTTACTCGTAATTGATAAAAATGATGGCATTAAAACTATTTCTTTTTTAAATATTTTAAATATTTATTATAAATCCCGTATTCATTTTTCTTATAGCTATATATTTAAAATACGAATCTCTAAAACTAAATAATGTGAAAGTAACTGTAATGGAAGTTTTGAAAAAATAATCAGTTATGCGTTGAAAAGCAAAATTAAAGAAACGGTACGAATTCATATAGGAGAAACGAGAAAGGTTTCCATATTGTTATCGAAGCTATGCTTAATTAATTTTGGTTATAATTATTAATTTAAATTTTAAATAAGCTATATTAAAAGTAAAATAATTGGAGAGGTGGTACTGTTTTGTTTAAGACATTTTAAGAAATCGTAAAATTATCTTTATTTTGGTGGGATTAACTACTAAAAACCTGTTTTGCTTACTCTGATAACGTAAAGGAGCAGGAAAGATAAAATACAATAATAAATTGTAAATTTTTTGATAGCTTTATTAATTGTGTTGGTATATGTATCTCAGTTTTGTGCATGATTTCGAAGCATTTTATATTATCTCATTAAAATACAGGTAGATATTATAAGTAATTAAAAAGGAGATTATATGGGCCATACTTTAATACCATGTTAATTTTTAAGCTGGTCTGGATATCAATAGGCAAATAAATTTAATTAATGGTTAAATATCGTCATAATATTAATGTACTACTCCTGTTGCTGTTTCTAAAGTTACTGGCCAATACCAGCAAGCCTGCTTGGTGAAACCAAGTGAATTTAGAGCAGGGGGTGCGTTTCCTATTTTTACGTGGAGCCATCTTCTGGTCAAGAATATAACTTCTGTCACACTTAACATCACAGCTCGTGTATAGGGTGGACCCATTCATACATCCACTCATTCATCCACAGATCGTAATTTTCACCTCAACCAGAGAACAAGCAATCTCCAATTTTGCACCACCAGAGGTATGATTAGTTATAGGACCATGGAGGACTTTGTGAACAGACTGATTTAACGCGCAACAGTCACTATTTACTACACGAAGAGTCTTTGCCCGGCGGGAATCAAACTCACGACCTTTTAGACATGGGCCCAACGCTCCACCAACCAGGCTACCTCGGCCCCAATCGACTTCATGATACTGCAAATTGCAAGGTCTGCCTGACAGAGCCAATTATGTAAAGTAAGTATGTATCGACTGAACCCCAGATATGCATATAGTGCATTATATTTCACTGATATTTGAAAAAAAATTTCACCCTCTCAGCCTAAAATGAAAAGGTTGCTCCATGAAGCGTTTGTATTTACGTTTTCAATAATTTCCTTGTTAATACAACTGACTGATGAAATAAAATGCATGGTGACTGTTGCGTAAAAAAATTTAAACAAATTATAAAAGCGGTATTAAACGTATAAAAATGCAAAAATGCGTGATAAAAAATGCAAAACATACGTAATTTTATTTACCAGTTGTTTACTTAGTATTGAACCAGTTATTTACTTGGCAATGATATTTTCAAGTCTTTAGATATGAAACTGGCAAGGTTTTAGTGTAAATTATTAATATTCAGAGAAAATTATTACCCTGCCAAATTTCGAAATTCTTCATCTGCTTCATCAGCTGTAAGGAGACTGCCAACAATCCCAGCGTCTTTCAACCATTGTGTGCTTCTCTTATAAGTAATAAGTTCACATGGTTCTTTTTTCTTTCTAGCATACCTTTGGAAAAAGTACTTAGTCATTAATAAAAGTTTTATTTCATGCAGAAAAATTAGAAAAAAATAGCTTTAAAATACAGTTAAGGAGCTTGAAACAATGTAAAAAAAACACATTTTTCAAAATGCCGGGGAAAGATTTTTCGGTAAAAAACATTACAATTTTTAGTAAAAACAATAAATTGAGCAAGAATGACGTCACTGGGATTATATGTTAAAGAATCCTTAAATTTTCTTGTCAATCGAAATTTTACATCAGTTGCACAAGTACATTTTTTACAAAGGCGAAATACTGGGTGTTGTGAATAGTTTTAAATATTATAAAATAATTAAACACAAATACCATTGGTGAAGACAGAGCATCCAGTGTGTAATCTAATATTATGTAACTTTTCCACGCTTTTCTAATCATTCGTGAAAAGGCTTGTTTTTCACCACTTATATACAAGCCATACCGGTGCCACTTTTACAAACCTAATATTTACTTGTGTGTCGCACAATATCCAAAACACATAACCATATTATGACACTCCTTTGTGCAACCAGAACTCGGAGATAGACAATGATCATATGCCAAAGTTCTCTTCTTTTAATGAAAAAAAACATATACATTCAAAATGAGTGAGATAGACAGTTGATGTAAGTTTAATGACGAAAACCTCAACAAACCATACCGGAATTTCGCCAAGTTACAAGACTGATATTTACTTAGGTCATGATTGCATCGTTCAACAGCGAAACCACTTTGGTACAAATTATACTCCCTTGTGCATTTTGTGCAACCAGAACTCAGAAATAGACAATGATCATTTATCAAAGTTCAAAACTATACTGTCAAAATTAGTGAGATAGACAGTAGATGTAATTGCTATAAAGTGACAAATTATTTTGTATTTAATGTAGTTACTTATAATTTCATGCTCCACTTTTGTTCTAATAATTTTATTGTCATATTAAATTAGTCAATGCATTTTTCTTTTAAAATTTCATTTTTATGCTTTTTAATACTCTAATCTGATGCATCGTTTGATGCATGTGGAGTAAGGTAATGCTTTTGAAGTAATAAAAATAAAACAATTATTAGTTGCATGTTCTTCTTTTAAGCAATGTTTAAATTCAATGTTAGCAGAAATGTTAACTCTCAATTATTTTAAAACATGCAATCAACAACTAAACTAAATTAAAAGATTAAAGCGATGGCGATAAAAATAAAAAAAGAATAAAATAATACTACCTGTTGAACTTATCATCAAATCTTGCCCTTAAAACTTCAGGTGATAGCATTCGCCCGGCCCTCGGTTTCTCAACCATTTTCCTATCAGATCCAGAAACCTTTTGGGATTCTTTTTTTCCACCGTCTCTTTTATTATACCTTTTCCGAAAGTCCTCTTTCAGCATGCCTACTGACGCCATATAAGGAGATAATCTTTCAGGAGATCTTTCAGAATGGCGGTTTTTTGTTCGAATGGCTTTACTAGCATTTATAATCCGATTCCTTCCAACTGATCCAGACTGAGAGGCATTTTTTGACGTATGTTTGTCCTTTTCTTTTAGATAATGTGCATTTTTGGGAGTAGATTTGACCTTCAAAATCCTGTCATTGAGTTCCGGTTTAGTATTTGTCAGAATCCGAGTTTTATCCGTATTTAATTTGTCATGATTGAATAATGTCGTTACTTTTTCACTATCTGATAAATATTTAGAATCACCTCCTTTAAGTTCATCTTTTTCAGTTTTCGAAGTGGATCCATAAAATTTTTGTTCTAAGTTAATTTTCCTGTTATTTTTATCACAAAAGATATTTTTACGTGAATTCGGAACTCCAATATCTGATATTTCTTTTTGGTTGTTTAAGGCTTTATCTTCATTTTCTGATAATAAATTTTTAAGATTTTGTCCTAACTCTTCTTCCACAGAACTTGATGTAAGTTCTGAAATATTTCGAGATAAATTAGTTTTCATAACATTTTTGCATTCAATGATTTTGCCACTTGATATCGGATCCTCAACATTTTCACTCTTGTTTACCTCTTGCATTTCTTTAAACTTATCTTGATAGCCGAGAGTAAATTCAAATTTATAATTTTCATGAAAAGGAACATCAGCTTCGGTTGAAACTGTTTCATTTTCGTCCACCCTACAAAATATGTCTCTTTCAGAAGGTATATTATCAGTTTTTGATGACTCAGGAATCCGTTGAATTTCGGAGTTTTCAAGGAGCCGGCAATCTGAGATATTTTTATGTTGCTTTATGTAAAGATATTTTCTCTTAGCATCCAATAATAAATCAATCTCATTCGAATGGAGAGTTTGGTTGAATATTTCCGTGTCCAATTTTCCAATATCTGAGTTTAGCAAATCCCTTACTTTTTCGTTATTCATATTATAAAGGTGATTAAATTTGACACATTTGAAATCTGCCTCAGTATTCGAATCCGCACTTAAATTAATGTTGTCTTTGAAACATTCGAAATCATTATTATTATCTTTATAGTTTGATGATAACTGTTCCTTATGTTCATGAGCCAATTCGTAGTAGTTTTCCGAGCCATGAAAATCTTGTTCTTGTATGTTTGACAATAGTTCTAATTCGAAATTTTTCAAATAACTTGCTTCAGAAGTACTATAAGTTTTTCCCTCATCTCTTATCTTTCTTAACAACTCATGACAACTATCTTCATCATGGTTTATTTGTTTTTGGTAACTGTTCTCTTCTTCGTATTTAAGTTGCTCTAAATTATCATTTGATGATGAATATTCATAAGTTGTGTAATAAGGTTCATCACAACTTTTGGACTTTTTCAGTTCAATGAAATAAACATCGGTACTATGAAATTCTTCATCGGAACTATTTTCACTATGGAAGGTTTCATAATCTTTATGTTGTACAGCATTCACATCTATCTCTTTTCCATCGGTAGGAATATCTCTTAAAAACTTATCATCATCTTTTGTTTGATGATGCTTGATTTGTTGATTAATAAGAGATTTTTCATGCACATTTTCTACTGTGCCCTGATTTTCATCAATGATGGTATATTTATTATGATTAACTGTATGAATTTTGATTTCGTTTTCTAGGATCTTATCAAAAAACTCAATTTCTTCCCATTTATTTTGCGAATCATCAGTACACCCATGCTTTTCTACGTTCATCGATGCACATTTTTGCAATTTAATATGTTCACTTTCCTTTTGGTTCTTCATAATAGAATCTATTTTGCTTGTATTATTTGTAATATCTTCAGTCATTCCTGTTTCATACACTCTGTTTTTGTTGTTGATAGACTTACTAAATGTACTGCAGTTTTGCAAAGGCTTTGTTGGACTACATTGTACGGTATGAATTCTACTTTCTCTTTCCAGAATCTCTTGAAAAAACTTCAAGTCTTGCTTTTTCTGATTATCAGATACGTAAACATCTTCTTTATGACTAAGGGAAGTAAATTCTCTGCTTTGATTATTAGATGCATTTTTAGTATAATCATATTCTTCAGTATGTAATTTAATTTTATCGTCAAAATCACCATCACGCAAATTAGGATTGTTATCAGTAAAAATATTCGTTTTGTGTATTGTAACGAGTTTTCTACTGTCTCTGGGCAACGTTGTATTTATATTATGATGTACTGTATGTATTTTACTTTCTGTTTTAAGGATTTCCTCAAAAAACTTTATGTCCTGGTATTTTTGAGTATTAGAAGCGTTTTCAAAGTCTTTAAGACTCAATGAGATACTTTCCTTGCTTTTAACATGAGAAGTTTTATTTTGATTGCATTCTTCAGTATACATTTCAGTATCTTTATCATAGTTATCACCAGAAAAATATTGGTTACTGTCTTTTTTCTGGTTGTTTGCATTAACAGAATTTACATTATTTATTGCTTGGAATTTATTTTTACTCTCATTTAACAACTCCCTAGTTTTATTTTGGAGCACAGTATGAATTTTGCTTTCTCGTTCGAGCAATTCCTCAATAAACTTCAAGTCTTGGTATTTCTGAGTTGCAACAGTGTATTCATTGTCTTTATGTATCAGTGAGGCTTTGTTTTTTCTTTTAGTACTCGGAACAGTTTTAGTTTGATAGCATTCTTCAGTATGTGTTTCATTTTCCTCGTCACAGCAATCAACAAACAAACATGAGTTACCATCTTTTTCCTGATTGTTGGCATTAACAGCATTTACTTTGTTTATTGCGTGGAGTTTATTTGCGCTCTCATTGAATGGCTCTCTAGTTTGATTTTGTCGAACAGTATGTATTTTACTTTCACGCTCAAGCATTTCCTCAATAAACTTCAAGTCTTGGTATTTCTGAGTAGCAGCAGTGTATTCATTGTCTTTATGCATCAGTGAGGCTTTGTTTTGTCTATTAATATTTGTATCTGTTTCAGTTTGATTTGATTCTCCGTTAAGTGTTTTAATTTCTTGGTCAAAGTTATCGCCAGGCAAATATGTTTCGCTATCTTTTTTCTGATTGGCATTAAAACTAATAACTTTTTTTAATGTAAGAGAATCTTTACTCTCACTAGACAACACTCTAGATACGCAATCTGTTTTAGTATTTATTTCAACTTCGCCTTCAAACTCAACCTGCGTGAAATTCGTGTTTTGCTTATTTTCGGTATCAATTTCATATTCATCACTTTCATCGTTCAGTGAAATAAAATTTCCACTTTCATTTTCGAGAAAAGCTCTAGTTTTTTCGTCTTTTTCCACATTGCCAACATTTAAACTATCATTCATGCTAGTGAGTGTGTTGCTCTCATCAAATAAAATTTCTTTTTGGCTATTATCTACAGTACTGATTTTACTTTCGCTTTTCAGGATTTTCCGAATGTTTTCCATATCGTCATTCTTCTCATTATCGTCCACACATCCATCACCTTTATGACTTCTTAAAGAGGGGTCATCTTTACCATTAATATTTGATGTAACTAAATTTTGTATACTTTCTTCAATATGTTTTCTAGTTTCATTGTCAATAAAGCCTTCTGTTCTCCCAGTTTCATTCATAAAGTTTACATTAATACTATCCCATTTCTTTTGAGCTGATACATGATGTTTATCTTCATCGGAAAAAATTTCGGCTCGATTACCAGGTACAGAATGTGTTTTTATTTCTTCGTCAAGAAAATTTTCCAAAAGTAAAATACCTTGAAATTTATTATTGCTTTCATCAGAAAGATTATCCTGCATTTTTGTCGTTAAGAAACAGCGCTTATTTTTCTCATGCGAATTTTCCATATTACTATCTTGTTCTTTTTGCATTTCTTCAGATAAATGTTGTAAATCACATGCATCAGTGAATTCTGAAAGTACGCTGCTTTGCATTTTATGTATCTCCTCTTCATCTGAAATAATATCCTCAAAGCATTTTATGGTATTTAAGTGTACAGTAAAATCATTATCAACCTCTTCCTTAAGAATATTCTCACTAAAACTATGTGTATCAATTAATTCTTTTGTAGTATTTATTTTGTTTTTATCAGAAATAATTTCTTCGTTGAATGTATCAAAGTTTCTAATTTCAGTAAAGTTGCCATTGCAAAAACTCTTCTTCTTCGTCAATACATCACCGTCTTCAGGCTTACATCGAATTTCCTCTTCAGCTTCATTTTGTACGAAATGCATTTTGTTTTTCTCACAGTGATTATTAGTAGAAGAGTCTTGATCATCAAAACAAATTTTGCTGTTATCTTCTTCTGAAAAACACCATACCGTTGCTTGATTCTCAGAATCTTTTTCGATACCAACAGTTTCAACCTTTTCTAAACAATTGCCAGAGGAATTTACAAAATCTAACATGCTTTGAGATTCAACTGAATCAGCAGAAATGTTAGGAATAATTTTAACTCCAAACTTATCGGCAAAAAATGCATCATCTGTAGCTTCCAAACTTCCATATTTATTCTCATCGTTTTCATCCATATTTTTGTCCTTTTGTCTGGCATATCTAAGAGTAAGATTGTCATTTTCCCGAAGTTGGTGTTCATCGTCAATACTATTGCTTGTTTCTCCTGAAGTACTTTCTGAAGAAGGCGTGATTTTAAAATAAATTTTTTCAGTGCCTGTATCATTAATATTCGTTTCACAAGCATTTGTTTTCGGATCTTCGTCTGCTGGGTTCAAAGATAGATCCAAATCTGCATTGTTCTTATTTACAGGTTGCAATTGATCGTTATTAGTAATATTATCTTTCACAAATTCTGAATTCCTACCATCTTCATTCAAATTGATTTCTTCTATCTGTTCGTTTTTACCAAACGAGATCTCAAAACTTGTTCTATTTTCTACTCCATTTTTTACATAATCCACAAATTGGTCATCATCTTTATTGATCTTATTTGATTGATTTAATAAATAAGAATTGCTTTGTTCTGAAAGAATGATGGATTGTTTATTTTTCGCAGAAGCGCTTTCTTCAACATTTAACACTTTAGACTTTTCAACCACCAAGCTTGGATTAGGGTTATACTTATCTGTTTCTGAATATTGAATATGAATTGGAAATGCAGTATCGTTCTTAATCTTTTTAATTTCCTCACCTAAGTGAAAGGGAAAATTTTCAAATGCTTCTTTTAAGATATGAAAATCATTTTCTATGGAACACCCGTTATTTTGATCGTTCTGAATTTCTTCGATATTCTTGCAAGGAGAAGTCGATTTATATGTTTTCTCTGTATTTAACGAAGAGCTTAACTTTTCACGGCATAATTCTGATTTTTGAAAAATAATTCTCTTCGCAGTGTCATTATTTTCAAGGGAAATTGTATTCCTGATTGTATTTACTTCTGAGATATCGGGTAAAGTACGATAATCATAAGAAGTTTCGCACATTGTCCTTGCGATATTCTGGTTGTCAAGTTCATTTTCAGTCTTACTAACTTCCTCACCTAATCTAAAAGGAAAATTTACAAATGCTTCTCTTAAGATATGGTAATCATATTCACCAGGACGATCAGTATTTTGTATGCTCTGCATTTCCTCGACTTTCTGGGTTTTGAAGGAAGTGCTAGTTATATATGCGTTATCTGGATTAAACGTAGTTGAATTGTTGACATTTTCAAGGCATAACTCCGAGTTTGAAGACATAATTCTCTCAGAAGCGTCTTTATTTTCATTTGGAATTGATTTATCATTTGTAGTTGTATCTGATAACGTATGATTAAGATCAGGAGTTTCACGCATTGCCCTTGGGAGCAAACATTTGTCTTCTTGAGCCACTTGGAAAGGTAACTCTGCAACATTTGTTAAACTGTTTTCTTTAGTGTGTTTAGAGTCATTCCCCTTTTCTATTGTTTCTTGCAACGGCAAATTATTTGTGTCATCAGAAGAATATTCCTGATTCTTTCTAAAATTTTCAATGTGATTACCGAAATCGAAGGATTTATCATTTGATGAAATAAAATTGTTCTGATAACTATGCGTTGTTATTGATTGGTTTAGATGATTTCCTTCACCACATTTCTTCATGAAACTTAAATCATTTGCATTGACTTGTTCGTTGCAATTGGAACTCCCTTTATCTAAGTGCTCATTGCAATCTCTTAAATTGAAAGCATCATTTGCAAATAATTCACTGGTATAAGAACTCAATTCATGGGTACTTGATTTTTCATTTTTTAGTTCCTTTTCTTTTCTTAAGTTTATATTTGAAAGATCACTTAAAGCGTGATTTATAAAGCACATTGTTAAAGAAGGAATTCTGTTATCTTTTGAGGTTCTTTCCAGTTCCTTCGGTTGTTCAAGTTCACACTCACCAAACTCTGTTATGAAAGACGATTCTTCATATGTATTAATAAGGTTTTCGAACGATGCAGTTCTATTGCGTCCCCCACAGATGTTTGTATAACGAATGTTTTCGCAACTTTGTGAGGGATAATCGAATTCAAATTCAGAAGAATCAATTTCGTCAGATATAGATGATGAGTCCAGCAGACTCATACTTTCTTGTGGAACTTCATCTGCATATTGTTCTCCTGTTAAGCTTTTACACTTTACAATACTTGAGATTATCGCTTGGCCTTCATTAAGAGTATTGCAGAGATAATCTTCAGAATCACTGGTAAGATTTGAATCACTTCCAGATGCATTTTGTCTTTCATTAGATATATAAGAAGAGTTACTTAGACTTTTCTTACTCAAAATTATATTTGTTGAAGCTTCATTTGGTTCAATGGATGCATTTGAAATTAGAATGGGTGCATTAAATGAGCTGTCTACGATTGTTTCATTTACAGGCAGTTCTGCCGAATCTTCTATTGCCTTAATATACATATTTGGGGATTCAGTCATTGTATTGAATGAACTATTTACAATTAATTTACTCAAATTTTGCTGTTTTGTAGAAGCTTCTCCTTGTTCAATAGACACAATTGGTGTTTCATTAAATGGTATAAAAGTGTTGTCAACGAATGCCTTACTCACTTCACGCTGTTCTGTTGAAATTTTGTTTGGTTCAACGTACACATTTAGCTTCTCAATTGTTTCAGATGGGCTATTTAAAATTGTTTCATTCAAGTTATGCTGATTTGTAGAAGTCAAGTTTGGTTCAATAGTCTCATTTGCTGTTTCATTAGAAATATTTAGTGAGCTCTCCCTAATTTTATCACTTAAAAAATGCTGTTCTGTTGAAACTTCCTCTGATTCAATATAGACATTTACTGCTTCATTGGTCGTATTTAGCGAGCTCTCCATGATTCGTTCTCTCAAATAATTCTGTTCTGTTAAAACTTCCTTTGGTTCAATATAGGCATTTGTTGCTGGACTAGAAGCATTTAATAAGCTCTCCATAACTGTTTCATTAGAGTAATGTTTGTCTGTTGAAGCTTCCTCTGGTTCAATATTTGCATTTGGTGCTTTACTAGAAGCATTTAATAAGCTCCCCAGAACTGTTTGACTCAAACATTGCTGTCCTGTTGAAACTTCCTTTTGTTCAATATAGAGATTTGGTGCTTCAGTAGCAGCATTTAATATGCTCTCCGTATTTGTTTGACTCAAATAATGCTGCCCTGTTAAAGATTCTTCTGGTTCAGTCGACGCATTACATATGACGTCACCATTTGTTACATTATGAGATGTTTCGTCAACTTTAGTGACTTTACTGATAAGACTATTAAGAATTTCTATCATGTCATTAGGTGTAGGAAAATCAGAAAGTACATCCGGGCCATTCAACTTCTCATTCTCTTCATTTTGAGAAGAGACTTTATTTGTCTTTTGTGCCATCAAACCACCTGTTTCATGCGTATTTGTACCGTTGTGAACAAAGCATATATAATTAACGGAGACATCACCTGCTAATGGATCCATTGAAAATTTAGATTTATTTATATGCTTTTCAGAGTCTGAATTTAAACTACTATTTTCTAGAATTAAACTTAGAAACTTGTTTTCCACTTCCATTGATTCTTTTTGTTCTGTTTTGTTCGGAGGAAACTTTGCAATGTCTTTATCACCGTGGGTATTCGAATCATCAGATGAAATCTTTATAATAGTAGATTTCTGAAGTAAGTTGGTTTCTTCCTTTTGATTCTCAAACTTGTACTTATGTGCTGCTTTAATGGAACATTTGGCAAAGTAAATATCGGATACGTCAATTGATTCATCGCTTGTTCTTTTTTGCTCAGCGAATAAACTTAAAGGTTCTGAGTTATTTTTATTGGCTACGTCTACTACCAGTGATTGCACAATTTCAGATTTATTTTTATTTTCATCGCATGAGTTAAGTTTCTTATTAAAGCTATCATTATTTTTTTGTTGGGAATAAATTTCTAGTTCTTCTGATGGATTGTCTGGAGATATTGAGCTTTGCTTCTTAGTATTTTTCTTGAAAACACTAAAGTAATTTTTCTTGGTGTATTTCTTTTTAAATGTATCAGTGTAAGTGTTTTTATCTTCATTTTGTTCTATTAAAGGAACTATTTCATGCCTATTTGCTTCTTCTTTAACAAAATATGTACAATTATTTGATGTTTCTTCTGCTAATGATTCGGTTAAATTTTTTTCTGTGTCTAAATCGATACAACTATTATCAAGAATACAACTTCTAAACTTATTTTCTTCTTCCGGTGATTCTTTTTTGTCCACTGAATTCGACAATAACTTTTCAGTACAATTAAAATCCTCAATTTCTAAGCCAGCCAGTGATGGGGCTGTATATTTTTGAACAAAGCCAGTGCATTCCTTCCGATTTTCAGAACAATTGCAATTCTGAGTAATTTCAATGGCATCTTTATTAAAATCAGACGTGCTTGATGATTTTTCACTTGTTCTCTTCTCTTCTGTAACTACACATGAAGATTCTAAATCGTTATTATGGTTGTCTCCTACCTCCAATGAAACAACTTCAGAATTAGTTTTACTTTCATCGCATGAGGTCTGTTGGCTTGTTAGAACATCATAACCTATTGATTGCGAATCATTTTCTTCATTTGCTAAGGCATCATCTTGGGATATTGAACCTTGTTTATTACTTCTTTTCTTTTTCTTCGAGCTTTTGAAGTAAAGTTTCTTTAGAAAGAACGGCATCTAAAATTAAAAGGTAGATGAATTTAAATGACATTTTTGTTTTACAGAACTTTTTTTTACTAAGTATGACTTTACTGTCCAAAGTCCTTGAATGTATATTTGTAAAAGAATTTAAATAGAGAAAACGCAACTGAAATCTCACTTTGATGAGTCAAAAAATCTTTTAGTTATTTGTCAGACTTACAAATTCATAACTAAAGACGCACTTTTATCTTTAAAAACGAAAATTACCCGCAAGCAATCGTCAACTACTTGAGCTATAATTAGAGTACATTTTGAAATTTTCAAACACATTTTTCTGTAAGATCTTTGTGCACTGATTCATTGATTTTAAAATACTTGAACTTGGCCATTTTAAAATTTTAAAAACTTTATTAAAATTATATGTTAGTAAACAGAAAAGGAAATCTGGGACACTGAATGAAATTATATGGTTGATCTTTAAAAAAAGCGTAATCTTAGAGCGAAATTACTGAATTAATAGTTGGAAGGAGAAGAGATCTAAGCAAAATAATAGTTAGGTTGGTAATCCAAACATGAATAATCCCTAAATCAAATAAACCGTCTTCAAAGAATAGCCCTTGCCAAAGAACACTGAAATAAAACATCTAAATTTTAGAAAAATTAGAAATTTTTAGAAAAAAAAATTAAATTCTGTATTTTCTGTATCGAAGGATGGAAGTGGTGAGGAAATTCTGCACAGAGCTAAGAGACAGATAGTCTTTTTGGTCTGTCTTTGGTCAGAATCAATCATGGAGGAGATGGTATCATGGCTTAGGGTTGCATGTAGAGAAGTGGGTTTCAATGACTTAACAATGAACAAAACTTATTATATGAACAAACTTAAAAAAAATATGTCTGGAAAAGTGCTGAAAAGGTTGAAATAGAAGGTTTTTTTTCTTCTTTTTATCAAGGTAATGACTCACATGTGAGAGTATGGCTGCTCTACAGTGTGGCAAACCATCCCAATCCCCAATTCAATTGAGCAGTTCTGAGACTTATTGAAAGGAGAATCAGGAAACGTGAAGTAAGATCCGTAGAAATGCTCCTATTATAGAATATGAATGGAACAAAATAACCATGAAATAAACAACTAAGCTAGTAAATAATACACAATAAGTTGAGAAGGGTTATCAAAAGAAGTAGATTCCCAACAGTAACTATAAGTTGCAGGCAATTACTGTGAAAGTCTTTACCAAAATTCTCAAACTTTTAAAGAACACAGTTTTTCGTAGTGAATGTTGCATAAACGCAAAAGAAAGCCCGAAGAGATTTGGCGGTAAGTAAGTTCAAAACTACAGAAGATTGACATTATTAAAAATTTTCCCTTTTTTGTTAAATGGTGAAAAAAAAACTTCTATACTTGCTTTGGTAAAAATTAACTAAAAAGTAGAAAATTAACAGTATAATATACGATACTAAGGAATTCGGCATTAAGTCCAAAAAATATTAATAGCCGGCTTAAACTTTCTTAAAACAGTTCTGTTAATTATAGCATCAAATAATCAACCCGCCAAGCGCTGACCCATTAGGTAAAATTGGAGCAGGAACTTCGGTCCCGCCATTACTGTCCGATTCATACCCTTTGTCATTTATATTTTTTTAATCATATATATATGACCATTGAAACATAACCACTCTAATAAGAAAAAGAAATGGAGTGGAACTTTTTTATCAAAATAGAGTAATTAAATTAGTAATGGGGCCCTAATTTAGAATCCAGCTGCTTTTAACGGTTCTCTTTTTTTATAGTTATTTTCCATCTGGCTGTAAATAGGCACAATTATAATACAAGATTTTATTTCTTTTCTCATTTGTTACTTGAATAGAAAAAAAGGTCATAATTCAAGTTTCTTTCATTTAAGAAAATAACACGTGAAGGAACCGAAAGGGACGGGATGGATACTGCCATGGAGTCGAAGAGAAACCTAAAATTTCGGGACCGAAATGACGAAACAAAAATGGCAGGACCCAAAAGGTGGGGCTGAAATGTTATAGATTATGGTCAAGTTGTAGAGAAAGCGCAATTTTTTTAAGCTAAGCGCAATTTACCCGTTCTATAAATTCCTTTTGATGCAGAAAAGCCTGCATCTGTAAATTAGGAAAAGATCAGAACTAGCACTCTGTGGATTAAAAAAGTATAATTTTATTTTTAAAAAAAATCTAAGTCTGAATTGTGTTGATAATTTTTGATGCATTAGATCACTGATATGCAGACATTTTTTTATCACTTTAATAGTACATAAAATACTCTAAAAAAGCTGAAAATCACTTTATGTTAACCTGACTTTCAAGGAACAAAAAAAAATGGAATGTCAAAATACATTGCATGAAAGGTAAAAATCAAGTTTTAAAATCTTTTTCTTAGCCAAGTATTTGTCTATTTCGGAGTAACGTACGAAAATCGCCAAACCATTATTTTGTCCTGTGATTCTTTAATTATATATTTTAATATGCATTAATGTATTGGGATACAACTAGTACCAAAAATAATAGTAAAGGTGCGTAATATAAGTTCTGTGGTGAAAGGTATTTTTACTGCTCCCGGAAAATGATATGTATCAATATTTTTTATATCTGCAGAATCTATCAATAAGCGTTAAGAGCCATTTTTTGTTATAAATGTGTAAACAACTTGGCTAGTTAATTACAATGGAAAAAATAGTTTTGGAAAAGAGCTTAACTTAAAATAACCGAATTACTGTGATGTATCATCTTAAATTTTATTTATTCGTTCATACATAATGTGTGATAAGACTTCTCTAACTAATTCTGATAAAATCAAAACAATTTTAATGTTATTTTAAAATGAATATTTGTTTATGAAATGTGTAAAAAAAGAATTAAATACCTTAATACTTCACTTCATTTCTTAAATTATTATATTGAGAAAAACTTCCTCATAAGAATATTAAACATTTTATAATTTTTATGGCACAAAATAAATTAATAAAAAACTTTGTAAAATATGTCAAGAAAATTTGAGCTTATCAGCTAGTAAGAAAAGTAGCAGCATAACACACTTAAGAAGCCGAAGCTGTTTGCCTGCATATACAACGAAAGAAAAAAAATATATTCAAAATAAAACTATATTTAAGGAATTTGGCGAATTTAGTACATGATTTTCAACTGCTGAACATTTTTAAAAATAGCCTTAAATTAAACTCTGAAAAACTGAGAGCTATTAAGTAAAACTAGATATAGTTATGATGCTTTAAAATAAAATAGATAATTTAGCTATTATTCTTTAAATTCATTTTCTTTTTAATTTTAAAAATATTAAGGTTAATAATAATAATATAATAATATAAATATTACCGTTGCTGCAATTTCATACAAATTCACGTTATTTTGAAACCCTTTACCATTATATTTTTGATATAAATTATAAAATTAAATAATAGACTTGCGTACCTAATATCCTTTCTGTTATACTGTTGTCTGTCTATGCTATGGATTTTTGATAAGAGATTTTTAAAACGTATTAAATTAGTTGAATTATTTTGAATTTAGTTTATGATCAAATAAAAACAGTGACAAAACATGGATCTTTTGTTGGCTTCAAATAAGTCAGAATCCATAGTATATCTTGTTGCCATTCCTTGTTGTTTTTTTTATAATTTATTTTGTTTTTAATATTATTTAAAGAACTGTCAACTGAATCAAAGCGGAACTAGATTAACAGCTTAACCTTTATGTTACAGGCTCTCTTAATATCCTAGAATACAATTGTTACAAAAGCAATATTGTTTCCCTATGGTAAGTAACATTCTCTAGGCAAATAGTGATAGAAGCTGTCTACTAAGCTTAGTCAATAGTTATGGCTCTGTCTTGTCAAAACCAATGTATGAAATGATAACTACAGAGATATCTAGGCTGACGTCTACTTTGCTAACCCAGCAACGGAAAATCATTGATTAATCAGCTACTAGAAGGGCATGTGCTTAATTTCAATTTGCTATACACGTATATTTAACATAGCATTAACATCCACAATAACACGACGATTGATTGAATGATAATAGACAAGCGATATAGTTCAGCCACCATTTGGGATATCTTCATGGATTTGAGTCATTTTAAAATATTAAATACGATTTATCAGGTCCAAAAAGTATTTTAAAGAATACAAAATTAGTCCGTTTTTTATTTCTATGGATGGGTTAAAATCTAAAATTTTATTACAATAAAATTGTTTTCATGATTTATTTAAATTCTTAATTAAAAAACTTTCATTCGATGTGGTTCGTACAAATTTCAAATATCAATAATACCTTGTATTATTTGAAAAGAAACCTTCATACTAAAAAGTTTTTGCTCTTCGATATCATACAATTTTAGTTAGACGTTACAAGGAATACACCGATACTTAATATGGAAATGCCGACGATATTAATCTTCATCTATCAAATGGTACCCCATGATAAAATAAAGTTAACACGTCCTTTATACTTGTGAATTGGAATTGCATCTTTGTAGTGGTAGTTACACTACACTTAACAATAAGAAATGACGCATCTTCTTTTCTCTTTTTCTTTCACTACCAATGCAATTAGAGAGCATGGTCGACATTTAATATACTTTCTAACGTGAACAATTCGTTTGTTTTTACCATCAACTAAATTACTTAAGTATTATCAAGTCTGACATGATCACGAAGCTTTTCTAAAATATTTTCTGTGCAACATTAAAAGGAAACTATTAGTTGATACAGTAGTTTTGAATAGTTGACACTTTACGGTATATTATAAAGTGCTTTGTCAAATTTTTATTAATTTCCGCGCGATTACGTTTGTAGCATGGATGAATAATATTTCTATGTGATTTATTGCTTAAAACTAGAGTTTTTATGCTTCATTTTAATAAAAATTATTGAATTAGATAGAGTGACGTAGATTTATGTAAACGTTTTGAAATTTTTCAAATTGTGGATTAGTGTCGAAGCATAAAATTTTCTAATCAATTCCATATTTTTCATCTTAGATTTTAGTAATATTATT